TTCAGATATGACGGCTGATAGAGATGTATGGAAGAGCAGCACATACTGTGCCGACCCTCCATAAGGGATAAGGGCAAGTGGATGATGATAGTAAAACTAAGACTAATGTTGACATAATGTATCTTTGTGCATATTTCTATTTATTTTATATCCTACCAGCTTTCGCCGCCGACTACGTCCGTTCTTCCAGACTATCCTCTACATCTATACCAAATTTCATCGAAATCCATTCAGCCGTTTAGGCTATAAACTCTAACAAACATCCATCTAAACTTTTGCATTCATAATAATAGTATGATATTATACGCACGACAAAAAATAGTGCATGATTTCGTTCAAAATTGGAATATAAATCACAGATGCTAATCCAGTGGACGTGCCGCGCGGCCATTTTGAAGTAGAGCCGATTTCGATTGAAACGTGATTTAAATTAACTGTATATCGTTATAGTTTGCAGTTGCATATATTTTATTAAATACTAGCTTTCGCTCGCGACTCCGTCCGCGTGGAATTAAAGTAAACAAAAGTGATGTGCCTCTGTGTTCTTCCAGACTATCCTTTACAACCAAACCAAATTTCATCGAAATCTGTTGAGTCGTTTAGGCTACAAACTCTAACAAACATCCATCCATGCATCTAAACTTTCGCATTTATAATATTACCAGCTGTTGCCCGCGACTTCGTCCGCGTGGTATTAGAAAACATACGAACTATATAAATAACAAAAAGCTACGTAACCCTCGGGAACCTGACATTTCTCGATGATGAACCTCATCCTATGTGTACTCCAGACTTAGTTTTATATTTGTACCAAATTTCAATAAGATATGTTGAACCGTTGCAGAATGATCGAGTGAACATTAAAAAACTAAATTGATGAATCCCACGGGAACCGTAAAAAATCACGGGATAAAAAGTAGCCAATGTGTTCTTCCAGACTATGCTCTAAACCTGTGCCAAATTTCAAGGAGATCCGTTCAGCTGTTTAGGCTACAAACGCTAACAAACATCCATCCATCTAAACTTTCACATTTATAATATTAGTATGATAGTATGAAGTATGATTATTTTGACTGGAATCAAACATTTTTCTCTATTTTCTAATGATAATTTCACTATCATCTCTATCAGGCAAAAATTACGAAACACAATTTAATTGTAAGTAATATATCCGATTAAATATAACATTCTAGATTATAATTTCAAAATGTAGATAGATGGATGTTTGTTAGAGTTTGTAGCCTAAACTGTTGAACGGATCTTGATGAAATTTGGCACAGACATATAGGATAGTCTGGAAAAAACATAGAGTAGTAAACTTTTTTTTAATGTACACAGACGCAGCTGCAGGCGAAAGCAAGTTTTAACATTAAATATGAA